GGCAAATGAACTGCTATTCAAAATAATTCATCTGAGAGTTTAGATGGGATGTGATCTGGAAATACTGGAGAAGCAAAAGTTTTAATATAGCTTTGGTCATTGCACTGAAGACACTTTTTGGCAGATGAGTGGTGATGGATGTGGTCAAACTGAGGACCTAAGAGATGCTTCTCTTCCTTTGGCATAGAAAGAGATTGGCAGAGAGGTTGGGAAAAAAAAAGTTACTGAGTAACAAAACTCTCATTATAATAACCCCAGGTTGTAACCTGCTCTTTTCGTTTTTGTTAACATACCATGCCATACACTGATTCTGTACAGAATTCGATAAATAATTTTTAACAATTGCATATTAACTCTAAGACTGTGTAAAACTATCACAGTTTTATATAGTTTTCCCCCCTCCTTTTCAGGATTCAATTACAAAGATGTCTATTTTCATGCCCTGAAGATATATACTTATCCATACACTACAGTATAGTCTAAAAAAGCTTTTGTAGTTTTTTTTATTTTAGGCTTTAACTCTGATGTTAGAAAACTCAGGTATATTCATAATTAATTGTCCTGATCAAAAGCAAACTCTTTACAATTAAGAAACAAACAGAAGATATGGCATATCAAACAGACTTTCTGCTGCTGTGATCTTACCTAAACACAAAATAAGCTCCTCAGTATTTCCACATTAATAGTAATAAAAGGCTTTTTTGCTTTTTCTACTTCTTTAAATATTATGTCTTCCCATACGCAAACCCCTGGTGCTTTATAAACAAACCATAGTAAAGATTTTTGTAATTGTTTGTGTCAAGAAGAGGCAGAAGGACAAGAGGTTGTATGTCCATGTGACAATGAAAGAAATCAGAATCGCTGATATGGCAATTGCCTACCAGGCAGAACAGAAGGAAACTGGGGGGAAAAGAAAGTGGTTTGAAATCCTGCCTGGTGTGTAGTTACACTGGTACACTGGCAATGATTTTGACGACTGAGAGGTGCTGTTCATTTTTCAAGAGCTGCTAAAACATATGGAACTTGCTTCTAAAGTCAAAGTTGTCTTCACCTGGACACCGTTGTCCTGACTTCCATCTGCCCAGATGACTTTGAAGTACAGAGGTGGGGGGGGGTTGGCTAGCAAAGTCTTTTCCTTTTTGTAAGGGTGTTGAAATGATGTTTGTCTGAGGGAGGTGACTTTCCCAGTGTGCCACCTCTGTCCCTCAATGGACATGTGAAGTCACAACTTTGGAGATGCAGCGTGCCTGAAAGGATTATTGTCACTAATTCCTCACATTAACATTGTTCCAGTCTCTAATATGTGCTGTAGACATGGGTGTGACCCTGATGCTAGTCACAGAGGTGGATGTAGGAAGAAGGGGGATGACACAACCTGAAGAAGAGCAGAACATGGCACTCTACAGATCTAGTGCAGTTTCCTTCTCATGGCTAACACTTTGCCAGCACAGGACAGTCATGGTGAAGGTCAGGCATGTGGCTGATAGTGGTGGGAGCTGGAGTCATTTATGCTGTGTCCTCTTTAGGGACACGTTAAGGCTACCAGTGTGACACCTGAAACAAGGATCTTGAAATTACTATTTCTGTCTTCTCCCTGTGTATCATCTTGGCACTATAATGTGAACTGAATCATCAGACTGGGTTAAGCAGAGCTATGATAATTTCTACCTATTAGATCTAGGTCCTTTTTCATCATCTGTTGAAGACCAACTTATTGCCACTGCTTTCTTGCCCTCACACTAAATTACAATTCATCAACAGACTCAGGAAGAAATTTGTTATGGTTTTGTTGCTCATTGCATATTTTCATATATTAATGCTTCCTGTGTGTGATGCAAATGGCAACCCTCTAAGGCAATACATAGTTTTTAAGAAGGTCAGTGCTATAATATATGGTGGTATTTCCTACAGTAATCTGCTTTCTTGTGATCTCTGAATTCTGTGAGGCTTGAGCTCAGTAACTCAGACATGAGAAGAGAGTTGTCAGATCCTCCTGAAGAGAACAAAGATGTCGGCTTGGCTATTGTCTTTTTAATGTGGGATGAACTAGAACAAAGCAAGATGAAATAAAATAAGCATAAAGACCAAGGTTACTTAATTATTATTGATAATGAATCCATGATTTGTAATTGATAACATTTACTATGGTGGTACCTGTGGAACAGCTAAGAATGGAGCCTGGTGTGCCAGGCAGGCAGTGCTGCCCCAGCAGCTGCCTCTCTCTGATCAGTGGCAGATGACAGTAACACTCCATAGTGGTGAGACTGAGAACAGGAGACAACTGTGGGAGGCTGGATCCGGAGCTGCTGTCCTCTGACAAAAGCTGGTTTGTAATTGCCAGCACAGGCCTGGCCAAGGGGAGCAGCTCTGAGCAACAGACACGGGATTTTCATACCACTGCCTATGGACAGAAGCCGAGCAGTGGGAAACAGTGGCAGTTGTCTTTATTATTTAATTGGGAAATCTTTTCCTAGCTGAGAGAATTCAAACACATGTAAGGGTATGACAGTTCTAAAGGCAGTGCACAGTGGCAAGCAGTAATATTTCCTTAGGTATCCTTTCTAAATACCCTTCTGTTGCAAAGTATTTAATTTCAGGACTAACCCTATCTTGGGATCACTGTTAAGAGAGCCATAGATTTAATGGCTATTGGTTTTAATTTTACCTATACACTCTTACTGCCCTCTTTTTGTTTTACTGACAATTCTAAAAGTTTAATTCATGTTGACAAAGATGACTAGAATATCTTGATTTATAGCAGAGACTAAATTTATAAATAAAATACATTTTTTGTTCTGTCTAAAAAATAGACAAGACTATACAATCCTCTTTAATTAACGTTGACAACTGTATTTCAAAAGAACCTGTGAAATAAGCAAGCCAACAAAACATGAATCAACAGCTCAAACGGCAAAAAAAAAGTTGGGAAAATTATTTTCCCTCTTCCAGTTTTTACCATGTTGAAATAAATCAAACTGGTGCAATTAATTCTGTTATTAATTCTTCTAAAATTTCAATGGAAATAATGTTGATTACTGTTTGTTGAAACAACCAATACATTGCGTTCCTAAATTTGTTGATATTAGTGAAATCAGTACTATGTCATTGTAAGAACGGCCAAGAAACCAGAAACCTCACTGTAGGGTGAAAAGAAAAACTCTGTGGCAAGTTGAGCAAGAACACACAGATATCTTTCACATTATGTTTCTGGGTGCTTGTTATTGTAGTTATGATACTTTAAAGGCAAAGACAAGACAAACTTTATAGGTAAAGATAAAGGATTATAAGTAAGGATAAGGGATTATTTTTATTTATACGACCATCTTAGCTTAAAAATCCCCCCAGCATTATATCTTAGGTACTCAAAAGCTTCTCTGCTTTTCCAATTTATAGTAGCGAATTTAATAAAAGATGCTACTTTTTCCTTTAAAGCCCATTTTTGTCTGAAATTCAGATATCAAGAATCATTGCAATTTTGAAAATCTTATGGAAGACAAAATTGTCTACCAAGTGCTACAATATAAAGATGAGATCAAAGTAATAAATGGAGAATGAAAATGGATGGACTAAATGCAATGTATCCATTACATGAGTGCATTTCTATTTTGTAAACCATACAGGCATAAATTGTTCTACAAGTGAAAACTGTAGTTTGGTATTTTATCTGTTGTTGTTTTGGTTGCTGTAGACAGGATAAGCAGAATATGTTATTATTGAAAGAAATGAGTCAACTGAAAATGAAATTTTCAAAGAATGATGCATATAGTGGCTATATTTCCATTGTGAAGCTTTTTGCATAGTGCTTGGGGTTCTAGAGAATAAAAGGTGCTATATAAATGTAAGGAATTATCACTAAAAAGTTTTTGCCTCCGAGCATTCTGGATTTTCCTGTGTATTACAAGGCTGCATTTGCAGTCTTCTTTCATTCCGAGTGCTTCAGCTTAGACCTGCTCCAACCCTCCCTCTGCAACTCCAGCTACAAAAATGTTTATATGAAGAAACAGTTTCTAAATTGGTTTCAGTTAATCATATTTTGCTGCTAACTTGAAAAATCCTGCCTTGGTTTAACCATTTTCTAGCCTTGTTGAAGACCAGAAGGAACTAGGTAGCAACCTTATCTTAAGAGGTTTTCAAATGCTGTTTTAAAACCATTATTAGGCCTTGTCTGCATTGGTGGAGAAATAATACAGGACACAGCCAGAATTCCTGCAAGCAAAAAGCCACCTGTGCAGTATCTGGCTTGATTTTCAAGAATCCTATTGTGTGGTTCTTTACCGGCCACACACGTTCTTTCACTGATCTTAGAGTGTCTCACTGGAGGCTGGTCCTAAAATTTCTACTTCAGGCACACATGCAATCCCTATTTTCTGTCATTTTGTGTATATTTCTCAAGTCTTCTTAATCCAACATGCAACCTTTAAGATCATCTACTACTTTTCATATATTATAAGTGGCAATAGAAGTAGAATTAGAAATTGAAACAGGACTTCTGACACCACTGGACATAATCTTTTCCCACACTGCCATTTTGATGAAATACTGCAGTTAGGTTCTCCATTCATGCCAAATGTGGATTTTTCTTTTGATCCACATATTGTGGTAATTATAAGTATTTTTTAGAGTCCACTACTGCTAATGGAATTGGGCCTTCTAGTTCAAGTGCTAAGTTGTGAGATTAAAAAGATTGCTAGATACCTTTAAGCTCTTAAATTGTGGGATTTGGCAGCATTAGAACTAAAGTTCAGATTTCCTTATGCTAAGCATTTTACCTCTTCACAAATAGATGTGAAGTATAATAAAACACTCCATCTTCTAGAAGTTAATGCTTTTATGGAATTTGGTGTTTTCCTTTAACTATTAATTACAAAATTGCAGTGAGAATTGCTGTTTCTTAAAAGTTATCTGCTAGGGGACAAAATATACTTAAATAAGTGTGATGACCTTCAAATGATCACATACAATAAAATATATGATATTTAGCAAGAAGCATTGGGGCAGTATTAATATTTGCTTTTTCATGTTTTTATTGTTTGTACTTTAGTTAGCACGGAGCACATATGACTGAGAATCTTACAAGAAGTCCGTGGATTGCACAAGATGATCATGTTTCTTGTGTTTAAAAGCAGTGGAAAAACTGTCCATACATGCTCTAAAATATCAGAACTCGATTTTATAAATGTATGTTTTCAGAAAACAAGCTTAACTCTCAGAAGAATAATATTAGCACTCATTAGGGGACTGAGTGCTTTAGGGTACTGTTAATGAAATTCATAGCCTTTTGCCTGTGGGCTATCAGTTTGAATTCAGTCTAACTCAGTGGAGATTAAAAACTGGCCTATTTAATGGCCTTTTAGTCATCTCTAATGAGTTGAGTTTGGTAGGTCTCAGTCCCACAACATAAACCATTCACACTGCTTTCTCCTAACTGGCAAGCTCCAGAGAACCCCCCAAATTTAATGGATTCTGGGGAAAATTAGTCTCTGGTACCATGAAAAAAAAAGCAAATAAAAGCAAAAGCCTCAATACACACTGGTTATGTGAGCACTAACAAACACATTATTTTTAAATGTGGAATTTATCGTGATATATAAAGTTTATAAATTAGCAAATTAGCTGAGCATGTGACATATGTTGGCACACAGCTATACTCAATGTAACATGACAAAGACTCCCAAAGGGGATATCTACACCTGTGCATAAGATCACAACAACACATTAGATGTTGAAATGTCTCTGGGATTCACTTTTATCAGAAAAAAAAATAGGATCAGAACAGATATCTGGATAGTAACTACAGTTACAGGAAATTATGCTGAAAACAATTATTACCTAGTCTGTCTCCATTACTTCACAGCAAAGTCAAATGCTTCTAAATTTTTCTTATGTAAATTTTTCTTATCTTTTAAAAAAGATGCTAATAACGTTTCCAGAACCCTATAAAGAATATATGCCAGTTTTATTTATCCATGACTGTCTAACTGAAATTTCTTTCAGTACAGTTTGAAACTGTTAAGTTTTGCCCTGTCTTCAATGGACTCAGTGGAAAATGTATTTTTCTCCCCATAGTCTTTTATTCACTAGACACATCCCTATTTTCAGTTAGGGTCACATCTTTTAAAAATGTTGATTTTTCCCTCCTTCCTTGTACTGTGTTCTATTGGACTTTTTTGAAAGAAATTTTTCTTGAAATGCAGAGACCAAATCTGAACATAGAGATGAGCCTTTACCAGTATTAAATATGAGAAATTCTTTATATGTCCTAGATATGACAGTTCTGTTTACACATCTCTCTGTTCTGCAGCTTTTTTCACAACAGTGTGACATTGTTGATGCGTGTTCAGTTTGTGATTTACTCTGATCCCCAACCCCTTTTCTGTAAACCCAGTGTCTATTCATGTGTTCCCAGTCTTGCAATTGTGCAGTTGTTATTTTCCTGCTTAAATGTTGAAGTTTGCACTTGTATTTATTCAATTGCATCCTATTTCTACAACCACTTTTTCAAGAGTATTTTGAATTTTTCTTGCACTGCAACATACTTCCAGCTCTGCCATTTGGCATTGCTGGCAAATCCAATCCATGTAAACTGTACTCTGCCAGTCATATAATTAGACTTGGTACCAAACTCAGGACATGCCCACCTCCAGGGAATTTGCTATTCCCACTATTTGTCAGAGGGAAGCATTGCTGATGTAATTTTGTACCACTGCAGTCATTTCAGTATGTTATGTCTTTTGGTTGCTCAGTTAAGAGTTCTCTGAGATAGTGTCAAAAACCTTACTCAAGTCAAGCCGTAACAGATCGAGGGCTACTCATATCCAGGGCCTGTTACACTGTCACAGCATGGGATGAACGTGGCTTGATGTGATTTTCTTGACAAATCCATCTTGGCTGTAGCTTATCACTTCATTAGCTACCATGTACTTAAAGATGTGTGATCATCTGCTTCAGTACTTTTCTGGGAATGGAGGAATGATTGACAGTTCTTGACCTATTCCCCCCTTTGGAATTTTATGTGCCGTGTTCTCCCTCTTCCTCTCTCCTGAAATCTAGCGTCCTCCCGAGCTCTCTGACCACTGCTCGCATCTCTGACATTGCCTTTATCTCTCCGACGTGAAATCCTCCGAGCCTGGCAAATCTGAAGGGAAAAAATCTAATTCATCCAAGCAGTCTCTGCGCGGTTACCATTCTCCCCCTTTACCGGGGTTTCCCTCAGAGCGTTCATCTGAGGAGAGAATGGCACCGGATGTTTCCGCTTTCCCGGTGTCACCTCGTGGCCTCCCGCCCCCTGCCTGGGCCGGCGGGGCCCGGGCCGTGTCCCCCGCGCTCGGCTCTCCGCACCCCCGGTACCGCCCTCAGCAGCCTCCGCCTGCCTTCCCGCCGGCACGGGAACACCGCGACGCGGATCCCGCCGCTGACCTGGTTTTCCAGGTCTGCGGGCACGGAGGTGAGGAGAGGCCGCGGGGGCCGTTCGGGCCCGTCCTCGCGGGCGGCGTCTCCTCCGCGCCACCGGAGCGCGCCCGGGACGGGAGTGGCGCGCGCCCCGTGGGACCGCGCGCGGCGGGAAGCGCGCGCCGTCGGAGGGGAGGGGAGGGGGGTGGGAAGGGGCGCGCGCTCCCTGCGGGGGAAGGGAGGGGACCGTGCGCGTGCGCCCTCCGCCCACTTCGGGGCGCGTGCACGCGCGCGCGTGTGTCCGTAGGCGCGCGTGGAGTGGCGGGGCAGTCGGGAGGCTTGCGCGATGACGTCACGACGGCGCGCGCAGGACGTAACCCCGGCGTGACGCACAGCCCGGCGAGCCCGTGAGTTTCCCGTTACGATTTATTTTCTTGTGCCGCGGCCCCGCCGCCCCCGCCCGGCCGCGGGGGGGCCTTGGGGGGGGGGGGGGGGGGGGGGGGCGCGGCGTGGCGGGGGGCGCGGGCCGGGCCGGGCCGAGCGGGGCCGCGTCGGACCGGGCAGGCCGGGCCGCCCTAGCGGCGGGCGGCGGAGCGGGCGGCTCTGCCCCATCCTGCCGCATCGGGAACATGGCGGCCGCCTCCGACCTGGTGCGGCATCGCGGCTCGGCCGCAGCCGCCCGCCGCGGTAAGTGGCCGGGCCGGGGCGGCGGCGGCGGCGCGGCGGAGCTCGGGCGTGCGCGGGAGGCGCTGCCCTGCCTGGCCCTCCCCTCCTTGCCCGCCGCGTCCCTCCCTCCGGCCTCGGCAGCGCCTCTCGCCCCCTCCCTGGGCCGGCGAGCGGCGTCCCCGGTGCCCCGGCCGGGCGGGACACAAAGGGCTGTGCCGAGGAGGGTTCTGTGCGGTCACATGAAGCGGCGCAGCCAGTGAGCGCGGAGCGGGGAGGGGGAGCGGGGCCGCCGCCATTGCCGGGCGCGGAGGAGCCGGGCAGCCCGGGGCCGCCGCTCGGGGCCCGGGGCCGGGCAGCGCCGCCCGGGGCCGGGGCAGCCAGGTAATGCCCCGCGGGCTGGGGTATCCGAGGTCACCCCGCGAGGCCCCGCAGGGCCCGTCCTCTCCGGCCGCCCGCCCGGCGGGTCCCGCGGGCCACCCGCGCTCCGCCTCTCCCGCCCCGCCACCGTTCGGCCCGGGGTGCGGGTCCCACAGCGCTGCCCGCCCGTGCTGGTCGGCCCGGGAAGGGTCGTGTGCTCCCGTTCTGGGACAGCGGGAATGCGCACTCCTCTCCTGCCCTGCAGTCCCTTCCTGCCTGCCGTGAAGCGGAGCGGCTCCGAACCGCACGGTGTCGGTACAAAGGGCTGGCGAGGGGCGCTGGGCTGTGTGCCCTCGGACCGGGAGCGGTGGCGGGGTTCCCGGAGCAGAAGTGGTTTACATCAGCAAAGGAAAAGTTACTAGATCAGGTATCGAAGTCGTGTCCTCGGGCTCCGAGCTGCTTCAGGATCTGGCGGTTTCTCTGACAAAGTTTGTGTTCCATCAGGTTTCAGTGGTGAACACTTGACAAATATAAGTTATATGAAATGCAGAAAGTTTTTTTTCTTCTTATAGGTTGTGTGTAACCTTCAGTCTGTTGGAAATACTTCTGTTTTGGTAGTTTGGTCTGTAAACTGACCCATTACAGTGGTAATGAAAAGCAAGCGTGGTATATCAAAATAGGTTTCCATCAGTGTTGTACAACTGGCCTTTTAAGCAAAACCTCTTTTGCAGTGATACTCTGATTCCTACCCCCCCTTTCTAGCATGTAATTTAATTATGAAGATTGTGTCATGGAACTTTGCTTTCAAACGCATATGGGGAATGAATGTGCACCAGATTTTAGGGTAAGAAGCCATTTCATGTTGTATAGATTAATGAATTAACACATGGGACAAATAAGAGGCTGATAAGCATTTCTGGAATTCTTCTGTGGAATTGTACATTTTACATTTTACTGAAAAGTTTGTGCAATATGTTATTTTTTAATATAAATTCCTAAATAATTTTTGATTCAAATTATAAAACAAATTTTAAAGAGAAGATTCTTCACAGTGGAGGGTGAAGTGCTTCAGAGTCTTTGTAACTTAATGTGATTCTTCTGTGTAAAATTCTTTACTCCCTGACTTGTGCAAGTCAGGTGATTTGAGGGCAGAATAAACGGACTGATTAGACAATGCAAAATAGATCTGGGGAAGCTTTTAGTGGGTCACTTAGGTGCAGAGAAAATGCAGCAATTTTCTTATTGGAGAGGACTTTAAGTAGAGTGCATGAAAGAGCGATGCAGTGTGACAATCCTATTAACTGACTTATAATCAGAGCTGATGTTGCAAACCTGTCTAATGTAACTGCAGAGGGATGTGGTGCGGAGTTATACAAGAATTAACAGTGAGAATTGAAATTAATTATCTTCAAAATATGGTATTAAAATAGTTTCTTTCTACTACTAGAGTATTCATTCCAAGAGAATTTTTCTAATAAAAATCTACCCAAGACACAGGAATTTTATAGAGGGGAAAAAAAAGTTGTAATGTCACCAAAGGGACTTGACTTTTCTTTTTATACATATATTATTTTCTTGTTTTTTTTTTTTTAGTCTTTGCAATATTTTTTTAAATTAAAAAAAGACCTGGGAAAATATCACTGTTAAAAAAAAAAAGCAAAGGTGTACTACTCTGATGACTTTTTTTTTTTTTTTTTAAAGTTTCACAATGTCCAGCATCTGACTTATACTGAGGAACACCAGGAGGAATACACCTAGGAAAATATGGAAGTTATTAAGTGAATGCTAAGAGAATTGAAATCTCAACAGGTGACCTGGCTAGTAGGAGGTAAAGGCACTGACCACTTAGAGCATCTCTGTGAGGTTATTTAGTACAGAAATGATTGATTGAAGTAGGAGAATCAGCAACTGAATAAACAGGATATTAAACAAGAATGGCAATGCCTTCCACTTCAAAATGACTGAATGTCATATGGATACTGAAGTCAAGGGTTTTCAGTGGAATTTATTGAGCAATAGTTTGTGCTTATACTTGCAAGTATTAGCACAACTTATATACTTTTTATTCGAGCCTTTTTAAGTTGCTTGTGGAGAAAATGGAACTGAAAAAGGAATAAAATTCTCCATAGTAATAAAACACACACATGCTCACATACACGTGCTCACACACACAGTTATTAGTTTTAAATACTTTCAGACTTTTAAACAGCTTGCAAAAGATCTAAGAGCTTAAAACTGGAAAAAATACTGGATAGTTGTGTCACTTCTCTGCAACTTCACCTGAGGTTGGTTTGAATTAAATGTCTTTGAACAGTGGTTGATTCACTGTGTCAATAACTCACTTTTCTCATATTTTTACATTTTCAAGTACCTTTTTGTCTTCAGCAAAGTTCAAGTGTGGCTGTTAGAGAGCTACCTTAAGATACTTTTTTTATGGATTTCTCTAATGTTAGTTACTTTAAGCCAAATTGAATTAGTTTCCTCTGTGCTCTGGATTGCAGAGCACTTTGTATTAGGTATCCAGAGATTTGGAAGAAAATAATAAAATTAAACAACACTGCACTCACTTAAATTGATTTTGAGACTGGGTTAACTTGGCATAACCTCCAAAACCTGATTCCTTCAGATGAAAATAGCATCCACCCAACTTCAGAGTGTAAAGGAATCGCTGGTAAAACAAAACAAGTCTGTCTTCTTTAAAAATAAGTTAATTGATCTTCTTGATCACTCTGCCTGTAAACTAAATCTATAAGCTGATTTTTGATAATTAACATTTTTTTCTTTTTTTTTTTTTCAATGTAGATGCAACCTTCATATTGGTACTGCATAAAAAGGTTAAGTTACCTGAGGAAATTGTGAATGTTGGTCATTCTGCCTGATATACATACAGATACTATTGGACTGTCTGAGTTAAAGGATTTCCTGTAGTTTGTAGTATTATGAAAAAAATACCCTTTTTGTGCTTAATTAACAAAAAAACCCCACATACACTTCCATGCCTGTATCCACTGTGTCCCTTAGCTCAGGTAATAGGAACCTTTCACGCAAGCAGCGATGGTAGGAAAGTCATGCCCATGTTGTTCACAGAACTATAGAAAAGACATGAAATGGTCACTTGGACATCCCCTGTTATGTAAAAACAGACAAAAATACACTGCACCTCTCCAGTGCAGTAATCTTTGAGATGTAATTTGATGCTCAAATCACAGTTCTCCATCGTGAAAGACCATGTAATGAGTTTGCATAAACTTCTAATGTGTGGGTTTTTTGAAAAAATTTTAAATGCATGGTAGTCAGGTGATCAGTCATGTTGCTTACTTAGTGTGCAACGCAGTGTCATGTAATGAGTGTTCTGTCTTGGTACAAAGTTTACCCAAAATCCATAGTTTTTACTCATAAGTGGTGTTTCCTCTTTGTAGGAGAGCAAGATTTTTTAAATTTCAGGAAATAAAATAGCAAAAAAAAAGTGTCCAATTGTGGTGCATTTCTGTCATACTTCAACTGTACACAGCAGCTGTTGATAAAATGTTGCAGCAATGTCCTTATATTGCCAGTGAGGTTAAAGGGGGGAAGACAGTGGCTTAACAGTGGGTACTGATGTTTTCTTACACTAAATATTAACTGACTTGATACTTCCAAGCAAACTTGGTGATGCAGAGAACTCTCCAACAGAAGTAATTTTAATATTCTTGGTATGGGAACTGAGGGTTCATTCTAAATCCAGATTCTGGAAATGAAATTCTCTAGTTGACATTTATTGATTGATACCAAGTGCTTAGTCTTACAAATAATTAACTAGTTTAAGGATAATGGGCTATTTAGTAATTCAGTATTTCTTGAAACTTATTCCAGTTTATGTGAAGTTCACGCTCAAATCAGAATAAAGGTTGCTGGGCTTAGGAATTTTTCAGGCCTATTGCTAGTGTTTAGTAACTTTTCAGTATGCTGAACACTGCAAGTTAATACCATACTTAATCGGATTGCTTTTTTTCATAAAGGGACATTGTTCTGTGAGTATTTGAATGATTGTACTTTTTGCTTGCCTTAAGTGACTACTTGATAATATTATACTCTTCACAAAGCAGCTGGAGCAGGGGAGAGGATGCATCTTGGGAAACAGGATAGAAGGAATTACAGGAGCC